CCCCTGCAGCCAGCGTCATAGGAGCCCTGCTGTGCTCCCTTCCACCTCCCCACATGTCACCGGAGAGACACGCCGTCTCAATCAAGACTACTGTGCTATCAGAGCCACTCTGAGAACAAAGCTCTCGGAGGCGTCACTGGCAGATGATGGCTCTTGTTCAGGGATTTTTCCAGCCTCAACGAACTGGCATGTCTGCCCCATTTAAGGACATCTGAGGAAGCAGACACACTTACCAGCTGCTTCATTGTAGTAGACGTTGATCCTCTCCAGCTGCAGGTCGCTGTCCCCGTGGTAGCTGCCCGTGGGGTCGATGCCATGCTCATCGCTGATGACCTCCCAGAACTAGAGGAAGTTTTTGGAAAAGGGCAGTTATAACCACAGCTGGCCAGTGCCAATCACACACGCCAGCGCAGCCTGTGCATGCCACAGCCCTGACCACTCCCTCGCATGGCAGAGCAGCTGCCCGGCAGGAAGGTGAGTCAGTGCCGAAGGGCTTCCCTGGCCGCAGGGGCTGAGTTAGCAGGGGGCAGACAGGCGGCTGGAGCACCGAAGCGCAAGTTAATTATTTTATAGCTTGTATCCAACGGATGACAGTCCCCGGGTATCTCAATTTGGTGGTCTCCCATTGTCTAGCAGTGGCTTAAGACCCCCTAGCCTCTACGAGAAGACGGCAGCACCTCCAACACCCTCGGGGGCTGATCCGTGACACGGAAACCCCTCCCTCGGGAGCCGGCGCCCTGGCTGCAGAGGGGCGAGGCAGCGGGGGGGCTGTTTCCTCCCCCCCCCCAAACCAACTTAAATCCTTTTGTTTGGGTTTAAAGAAGGAGAAAAGTAATGCCATCCACTTTTTAAATTAAATTTTGGTTTCATGAAGTTTTGTGGGTTTTGTTTTGTTTTTTTTTAAAGTTTAACAGCACAGCACAAAACAAGTTGCTGCTCTTTCCAGAATGGTCTCCTCCTGGTTCTTCTCAACACAAGATGAGAAGAGGAGGTTGAATGTCCCAGCTCTCAAAACCACTGTCACAAATAGGAACCTTCTGGGCAAAGAACACCCTGAAAAGGGGAAACCAGCAACTTTTCATCCCACCTCATCTTCAGACCCTTCCCCTTCATGGGGTTCGTGGAGCAGGAAAAGAAAGGGAAGCCGTAACACAAATTCGCACACAGAAGTACGTTTAGGAAAGCAAAGCACCAAGATTGATTAGAGTGTTCCGCTGCTTTAATAAAGAGCCTAATGATGTCCAAATTATAGCAAAGCTCAATTGTGTAACCAAGGAGCCAAGATTTCATCCTTGATAAGGACATGGATTTCTGTCTCGCAGGAGAAACCTGCAGTTCACTAACAAAGATGACCTTTTATATTATACCCTTCAAGGCCACAATTAGCTGGAGAAATAGTGTACTGACTTGGCAACATGAGTTTTTGTACACTGTGCTAATTTTTAGCAGAATCTTGCCAAGACCATTACCATCTTCTAACAAGACCAAAAAAAAAAAAAAAAACCCAAATAAAAATCCCTAACTCCTCTTTGCACACCTGTTGGAGCTTGTCCCCTTTCCTTCTTCACCTCTGCTGCACCGCAGCAGCAAAGCACGCACTGCTATGTTTTATTAGCACCCTCAAGCCTGTATTTCTAGCTCGGGCCTGCTTAATCACGTTTTGATGCGTTTTAAGCACAAGAATCATCTTTCCGTAGGCCAGGCACCTGAAACAAGCGGGGACTGGGTGGCGATGATAGAGCCCACAGCCACTTTCAAGCAGCGCAACCCTCCTTTAGATAGTGCTGCCAAACCTGTATATGTGGGCCTCTAACTTCAGGACCACAGAGGGCTGGCATGAAACTTTACGCTGCTAGTAAAGAATGGCTTTTTCTAGAAGTGGTCCGGCACTGATAGCAGTTTGAACACCCATAGGAATGGGATATCTTTTCTTCTATAATTGAAGTTATGTTCTGTCTTACCAGACACCCGCCACGCACCTCATTTTGGAAGACTTTGGATCCTCCTCCTAGCATCTCTGCTTGTTCCCTCATAGAAATAAACTGAGCGAAGGACATGGCGGATGGCTGAGGGAGGAGGGACAGTTCAAAAACAACAGTGAGAACAATATATTTGAACCAACTGAGATACACACCCGTATCCGCACTGCTGCCGAGGAGAATATCCGAAATAAATTTCAGCAGGGTCCGTAATGGATTGTGCAGAAACTATTGAACTTGGCTGTAAAACGTTAATCGATTCGCAGCTGTAAATTTTTCAGTAGTGAAAGTATCTTTGCCGCGCAGCTGGCCAACCTAGCGAGGACAGCTTTACACGAGGACCAGGGAAGGGAGACGACAACCCACAATCAAACGAGGAAGCGGTGGAGCGGGTTGGCAAAGAGGATGCGAAACGATGTACCTAGTATTCAGCACAACGGAGCTGGAGGGGGTCCACCTCAAGCACAATATGGAAGTGCCGAGGGGACAGCATGGCAGGGCAAGCTCTCGCACTTTTCCCAGGAATCGGCAGGCTCGGGCGCCTCTCTGAAGTGCCTCTACACTAGCGCACGCAGCATGGGCAACAAACGTGATGAGTTAGAGATTTGCATGCAGTTGCAGGGCTGTGGTCTCACTGGGATCAGAGAGACATGTGGGGACAGCTCACACGACTGGAGGGCTGCGATGGAGGGATGCAGGCTCTTTAGGAAGGACAGGTGAGGTAGGGGAGTTGCCCTTTGTGTGGGACAGCAGGAGAAAAGCACAGAGGTCTGCCTGGGGGTGGATGATGAGCCAGCTGAGATCTAAAGGGTCAGCATTAGTGGGCAAACCAATGTGTGCTATGTTGTGGTGGGTATCTGTTAAACACCTCCTGATCAGGAAAAGTAGATAAGACCTTCAGACAACTGGAAGAAGTCTTGTGTTCTCAGGCCCTAGTCTGCAAGGGGGACTTCAACGTCCCCAATATATGCTGTAGGGACAACGCAGCAGGGTAGAAGCAATCCAGGAGTTTTGTGGAGTGCATTGATGATAACTTCCTGACACAGATGATCATAGAGTCCAAAAGGCAGACACTGCTGGACCTGATACTTACAAGCAAGGAAGAAGTGGTCAGGGTTGTGAAGGCTCAGGGCAGCCCTGGCTGCAGTAACCGTGAGATGGTGGAGTTCAAGATCCTGATAGGAGGGAACAAGGCAAATTGCAGGATCACAGTTCCCCTGGTCTTCAGGAGAGCAGACTTCAGCCTCTCCAGGTTATCAGTTGGGAAGAATCCTATGGGAGATGGTCCCGGAGAGAAGAAGAGTCCAGGAGAGCTGGTTGACTTCCAGGGATCACCTCCTCCAGCCTCAAGAATGGTCCATGCCAACAAGCGGAAAATCATGCAAAGGTGGCAGGAGGCCTGTATGGATGAACAAGGAGCTCCTGAGCAAACACAAATGTAAAAAGGAAGCATTCAGGAGGTGGAAGTAGGGTCAGGTGATCCAGGAGCAACATCGAGTCACTGCCATAGTGTGCAGGTTTAGGAAAGGGTTAGGAAAGTCAAAGCAAAGGATGTGAAGGACAGCGAGAAGGACTTCTACAGGTCCATTTGCAGGAAAAGAAAGTCTAGGGAAAAATATGGACCCACTACTGAATATGGCAGGAGACATACTCAGTGACAAAAGGACATGGAAAAAGCTGAGGTACTCAGTGTCTTCTTCACCTTGTTTTTCACTATTAAGATTTGCCCTTAGGAGTCGCAAGCTTTTGAGACCTGTTGGGAAGTCTGGAGCAACAAAGACTTACTCTTGGTAGAGGAAGATCAGTTTGGGGAACATTTAAATAAATTGAACATACAAAAGTCCATGGGTTTTGATGAGATGCACCTGAGTGCCGAGGGAGCTGGCAGATATCATTGTGAGAACACTCTTGATAATCTTTGAAAAGTCAAGCCAATCTGGGAGGTTCTCAAGGGTTGGGAAAAAAAAAATGTGTGTCACCGCTGACTTCAAAAAGGGGGATCCGAGGAACTACAGGCCAGCCAGCTTCACCTCGATTCCTAGAAAGATGGTGGAATGAATTCATCTGAAAACCATTTCCAAACATATTAAGGTCAAGAAGGT